GCCAGCAGAGGCACTGACGTTGCTAATACGCTAAGCTTCGTCAGTATACGAGTAGCTCATAGAGCTTCCCGTTCCACGTCGGCGGTATTCGCCACCGTATATACCAAAATAACCGTAAAACCTTCATGCAACTTTTCTTTTGACGAAGTTTTCACTACCTTTTAGACTACCGTTCACATCGTCCAAGCTGCTACTCCAGAGAGCGGGATGTAATTGATGAGTTGCTTTCAAAATCTGGTCACTATTTAATGAGAGAGGACTTTACGTTGAGAAGGAAGTAAGAAATTTGTATATCAAGGCATGATTCTCCACCTTTTATGCAGTCCAGCATTGCCCAGCAACCCAGCTGATCTATAAAATTATGTGCAGCGCTTCATAGTTGCTGACACGATTATTTAACCGTACTGAGCTGCGAGTTTGTGGTGTGTATCGTGTGTTTATCTAGAAACGGAGGGACATACAGTTTGCTCTAAGATGCCTCTGAGCGGGAGAGAGAGTTTTTTTAAGAGGACCTCTTATTTCATGTCAGAAGTACACTCGGCGGGGTCGACATTCCCCGGCGAGGGGTGACAAATTTTCTTCTTTTTTATTAATTTTCTTGTTATTAGGAATGTTGGCCTGTACAGGGTTCCTACTTACAAGGCAAAACCGACTGCTAACCACTCAACAAGTGGATCAAGGCGTCCTTGATGGCACAACATTGGAACGTGCTCTGTACTATAGAGCTCTTCGGCGGGTTATTTGGCAACCCTAATCCTAAAGGTAATCACAATGTAGCGTGAAGTCTCTCTACCGACTGCCGCTATTATTATTATCGTATTATTGTTAAATTGCACAGGCTCATGTTTCACATACAAACACTAAGGAGCAACACCCGCACATACAAAGAATTGCCGTCTCATAATGCGTAGCGATTTTTTCAAACTGTCAAAATTATTTGTTCGAAGCTTAGTTGTCTATGATTGCAGCGTACAGAAGCTCTCCATATGTACGAGTATATATAATATGTCTGACGCCCACCAGCCGCGTCGCCAAGTGATCGTTCGATTTGGCGGACACATATCTATACATATGTATATGTGCACACGTTTATGTGCACACGTTCGACTGCTCATTTATTCCGCCAACTGAAAAAGTTCAGTAAAGCATTCCTGTTCTTGTTGTTTTTGTTGTTGTTGTTGCTACCATTCCACTATTGTTGGAGTGTATGAAAAATGCTCGCAACAACAATAAGTATATTTCATAAAAGTCGCTTATTATTTGCCATTTAGCCACTGGTTTTGATTTTTTAACTGCACTCCGACGCTGCCCAGAGTAGGGAGCTTGGGTTAGCAACGGCCACCAGCGCGCCGTGTGGTGTTGCCATGCTTGCGCTTTGTACTTCCTTCCTCGAGTTAGTCGAGTCAATGCATCGCTGTCATGATCATTATCGCAATATTTTACTAAAAGAAAATTTTTAAATGGAATTTAGCGCACACATGCCGGCCAACATACATACAAAATCTCTCATATTCCTCCCTAGCCCATCTGGGCTAACGTTTTTCGCATGTTTATAACGAAGTTTCGTTGTACTTCGTTCCTGCATGCCACATTTTGGTCAGTCGGTGAACGCTAAAACGCTGCGGTTGGTCCTCCAATCACACCTTTACAAGGCTCCATACAGTTGCGGTGTCCTCTGGTTAGCCTGCAACGGCGTATGTTTGTACTACGTGTATGTACATATAATGAGTGAATTATGCGTTTGTTGAACAGGTACTCGCTGTTGTCCTGCGGTGTTGTGATCTTGTTGCAACACCAAATTGCAACTATTTATTGACTGTGGATTTATTGCGTAGCGGGTGTTGGGCATAAATTAAAATCTTACAATATCTTCTTCGCAACAACGTGGTTGCGCGCTAATGGCATCACAGAGGCTGGTATGTGCCGTGAATGATTCCTCATACCAGCACGTTGTAAGGTGGCTTTGGCGCTTTCCGAGGCAACATTGTATCGCTGTTCGAAGTTTAAGTCGACGGTGGCGTTCACTCGTGAGAGTCATGCATAAAGCATACTTTCGAACTACGGACAATTATCGTGGGGTTTCTTCGAATGAAGCTCCTCCACTGGGACTACCTGGATAATGAGTAGTGCGATCGCTTGCAGGTTGCTCTGGGATACATTGAACTTACAAAAACTCTGATAACACTGGACAACCACTTCCATCGATGCAGTTGGATAGTCTTTGAGCAATACGTGAAAGGGCTAACTTAGGAAGTCACAGCTCTCACATAAGAACGAGGGTCTTTCCAAGGTTAACTAACAGTCAACGAAACTCTTTCGCATGAACTGGAGTTGGGGCATTTGTCTACTGCTTTTAAGCGATTTGAGTACCGTGATAACCCAACTTTCTCGATTGAATATCTTATATTCAAAGCGAATTCTCCTCTCTACTTTCATGCTGCTCCAGGAAATGTGAATTTCAAAAGGGGGAACGTATTTTCTTGACACGGTCTCTTGACACGAGCTGAAATGTGGAAAGTCGTATTCGAGTTCACAGCGCTCACATACGATAGTTAGTGTTATGCGTTTGACTTAGCACTGAAAATTAAACATTGGAGTTCGGCGACTCTCTGCAGTCAATGGTTACTTTAAGTTTCTCATACTAAAGCAGTGGGGCCTGGAATGGGCTCCTCTTTTTGTTGAGCGAACCTGGATAACGTTGTTTTTTTGATAGTGATGACAAAGCCTAGTCGGACTGGAAACTGTAATCGCTTGAATCGAAAAGAAGTATCGAAAGAAATTATGTGGAATCGAGGAATGTGGATGTCTTCAGTATTAGAAGATCCGGTCCGAATTGCTGCTTCCTTCGTAATTTTTTTACTGCAAGTCGTGCGCCATTGCAGACTTTCGGCTGATAAATATTACGCAGCATTAAAATGGTATAATTCAGCAGGATAATGACCTCACCATTTGCTACTACAACGGTGTCAGTCAGCTGTGAACCCTAACATTGATTCTGATATTTAGGTATACTCCGTGAATTAATTCTTTTTTTCATGCAACTGTTGTTGTTGTTGTTGATGTTGTTGTAACGGTTGTTCCAACCCCGCCTAGGACATGCTGCTTAGTCTTAAGTCACCCAGATTACCTAACGGGAAGTCCAGAAAACGAACTGTTTCGATGGTTTCGGTCCAGACGGATAGGTGAGTTAGGTGTGTCGGTTTTTGGAGGCATGTAAAGAGGTGATAAGTGATGGGTGAAGTCTGGTTAGGTAGGAATTTTACCTGCTATAATATTCGGATTAAAGTTGTGCCAGTATTACGCGGACCTCGCGAGGCAGTTCGAGCTTGTCGTCTGCTTTGGGTGGTGATTTAACTCCGAGAACGACATTCAAAAGGAGGGAGCTTTTGAAGGTGTTGACTGTCTCCTGGCGAATAGCGTTTATATCCTGTCTGTAAGCCATCCTGCCCAGCGGTTGTTTCGAATGTTTGCCGAAATGTATACGATACTCCCTTTTTTAATGTGTCTGAGTGAAGATTCAGCGTCTGTTTGATTGCCTTACTTGCACCATCCGTTAACACGTAGCATAAATTGCAGCGGTTATCGAGTAATCTAATCCGTACTGAACGCCGAACAATTGGCATTTTGCCATTCCCAATTTCCACTAACAGCCATGAGACTATATCAGACGGTTGATGGCTAATTGCAGGGTTTGAGTTGAGTTGAGTATCTTAGACAAGCATTGATCTCATCCACTGCTGTTGAACCATAGATTGATGGGCAGCACTGCTGTGGTTAAACAATTTCAGCCAGTCGGTAAATTTTCAAGAAATGCGGAACTTTAGAAACAAACGTAAGCTTTATATATATTTTTATTGATTCAACTACCTATGCCGCGCTGGGAGTAGTATCATACGGATCTTGGATTTATTCTTATATTCAAATCAGACTATTTTTTGTCAAGCGGTTGGCGATCGCTTTACCGTCAAGAAAGTATTACCTAGATGCGGAGCAAATCGAATTTGATCCCCGGTCTTCGACATATTTCCAAGAAGCAAGAGTATACTTTATCTTCTGTCTTTTACTTTAAGACGATAACCTGTATAAAATAGCAATGTAGATACCAACCTGAGGTTCTTGAAACAAATGTCAAGCAATTTTAAATTCAGCACAACCAAGAACATAAGTTTTACTCAAGAAAACACAAACAGGCTTGTATTACTGATTAGCCTGCTACTGTTAGATGAAACAGTCTGAACGTTTTTTTTTTATGGGTAAAACCACACTGTTATCGCATCGGACAGAATCAGGCTGGAAAAGTGTGTTCGCGAAGGCGAGTTTGATTTGATCACTGTTGTAGTGAACCAAGCAAACGAACCGAGGCACAGCATGAATCAGAGGAATGTTGTGGTTTTTACCAAATCGATAAGAAAAGTTTCAAAATTACATTTCGCGATTTCAATAAGAATGTCTTACAAGTCTACAGTTTTAGTACTGTTTTAAGTGTGCATACAGCAATTCAAGGATGTGCCGCAAAAACTAAAGTGTAAAAAGTTTTATTAAAACGTACAATAGATTTAGAAAAAATTTTCGAATTCTGTGTTCGAAAATATAGAATAATGAACGCGGGACGCGTTTATTGTTCACATAAAATCAAACTGATTTTGTATGCAATCATAGCGATCCTGCTCTACGAACGATCAACTGTACACTCTGCTTTCGATACGCGGAAATGCAATAAAAAGTACAACAACGGTCAATGCGAATGTAGAGCAGACAAAATGGATTGTCTTTTCTATGACAAAAATGGATCGATGCAATTTGGATTGAACTTAAGCGACTTTTCTATTGATATTAGATGCATACAGAAGCCAACGAGCGTCAATCAAATTTTAGAGAGAGTTCCAAAACTACCTACAAAAGTTAAGTTCAGTTTAAGGAGATGCCATCACTTGCCTGATATTCTAAAACAGAAAGGCGTCGCATATGATGCATATATAAAGGTAACAGAGACAACATCAATGAATTTGCTGCACAACTCAAGTGGTATAGAGAGTTTAACGGTAAAGTCTTATGTACCAGTATCACCAAAATTATTCTTGAAACTGCATACGCTGAAAAGGTTAAAGGTAAAAATATCAGACAGACTGTATACTTCATATTTATTCAAGCATGTGCCGAAAAATCTGAAAGAACTAGCAAATAATTTAAGCGATTATAAAAACGTGAATTTCACTACAGAGCACTTTCAAAATTTAACTGCCCTCAAGAAACTAACTCTAATCTCAACTTTTTCTAAGAGTTTACCTGAGAATATTTTCTCATCACTTGGTGAACTAGAATTTTTGAGTCTGAGAAATAATAAACTAAGTGAAATTCCGGAGAGTTCATTCGCTGCCCAGGAAAAACTCGTTAGTTTGGTACTCCGAAGAAACTACCTTAAATATTTGCCAGAGAAATTATTCGAAAATACACGCTCTCTAAGATATCTCTGCTTGTCCGATAACTACTTCAGTAATCCCTCAAATATCATTGCTAGCACCAAGCCTTTGGTAAATTTAAACCGACTGGATTTGAGCCACAACAAATTGCGTACGATTACGGGTAATGATTCCCATGTCAATGAGACACTGCTAACCAACTTCGAACAACTGGAAGATTTCTCGTCGCAAATTTCGAACAAAGAACATAATGGCGGTAGCCAAAGACGGCATTTCATATGGCTCGACCTAAGCTTCAACTTTATGGAAATCTTCCAAATGAATTGGTACAATAAAATACGCACAAAATATCCCATAATTACACGGCTTTCAAATAATCAGAATTATCATATATATTTAGCATTATCACTGTTTGATGAGTACTCACCATACACAAGAAAAATTTTTTACGCAGCAAACCCAAAAGAGTGCTATGAGAGTCTATATACTGTTAATTATTTGCAAGCTGATGTGTATGAAGCCACAGACGTGTGTCATTGGTTGCCTGACTATGGAAAGTGTGAGTATTTTTGGAATGCCGAAATGCTCTATATAAACTGTAGCAACAGAAACATGACGGAGTTTACCCAATTAACTGGTCCCGCACATTTTGGTGCAAAATATGCGAACCTCGACATCAGTCACAATCAGCTATGGGAGCTACCCGCTGCGACAACAATCGCCTATTTGAATGTACTCAGTTAAATGTGTCGCACAATCAACTAACGGTCATTAGGCACACTCAACTGCCGGCGAATTTAAGTGTGTTGGATGTGAGCCACAACCACTTGACACACCTCAGTGCCGATTTTCTCGATCTCTACCAATTGTGGACACGTCTTAGCCTCGATGGGAATCCTTGGCGCTGTGATTGTGACGCCGAGGCACTTATACTTACTGTGAAGGCATTTCGCAGCCACATCCCTGATGTAGATCAATTGCATTGTGATAATATACCGGCGAGAGGAATTGTAAATCTCTCTTTTACCGAGATTTGCATCCCACAGGTATCAATTTCAATACCAGTTTATATTGGCGTTTCCTCTACATCTATTGTAGCGCTCATCATTGTTGGCATCTCCTTAAAGTACAGTCTACAATTGCGCATCTGGTTGCATAGTCACAACATATGTCGCCGCTTCATCAACGAATGTGAATTGTATAAGAATAAAAATTTTGATGCTTTCATCTCGTACGCTCATCAGGATGAGCAATTCGTTAACAAAACATTGCTGCCTGGTTTGGAGGAGGGTCCGACACCTTTTCGTATCTGCACACACGAGCGCAATTGGTTGGCCGGCGCTTATATACCCGAACAAATAATCGAGTCGGTCGCACAGTCAAGCCGCACGATCATCGTACTCTCACAGCATTTCATCGAATCGGATTGGGCGCGTATGGAGTTTCGTATGGCTCTTCAGAGTTCCTTGAATGAGGGACGTTCGCGTCTGGTCATTATTAAATATGGTGAGATAGTCAAAAGTAGCTTATTGGATAGGGAGCTGAGAGCTTATTTGTCTTTGACCACCTATTTGGATTCGAAGGATGAAAGATTTTGGCATAAATTGCGTTATGCATTGCCCCATAGGAAGGGGGAGGTACGGGATGCTGGCATGCTTGAGACGGGCCGCAGGTACGTTATCGGAGAGGTGGAGTTGAATGGGCCATATAAGGAAGGAATTTAAAAAAATCATATAAGCAGAAATTTCGGTTTTATTCTAAAAAATTTGTACCTTAATATTTTTTGAGATTTAAAGTTGTACCAGAACGTTCCATAAATTTCAGAATAAAGTAATATACAAAAACAACAGAAAATGTGAGTCTCTGGGAAATTACGTATTTATTTAAAAACTAAAATCAAATCAAATAGAATTAAATTGAATAAAATAAATTAAAATAAAATAGAATAAAATCAATAAAAAAAAATAAAAAAAAATACAATAAAATAAAATAAAATAGAATAAAATTAATAAAAATAAAATGAAATAAAATAAAATAAAATAAAATAAAATAAAATAAAATAAAATAAAATAATAATAAAAAAAAATAAAATAAAATAAAATAAAATAAAATAAAATAAAATAAAATAAAATAAAATAAAATAAAATAAAATAAAATAAAATAAAATAAATTAAACTAAAATAAAATGAACATACAACATAAGAAAAAATGGAATTATAATGAAATTAAGAAGAATAAATTTAAAAAAAATAGATCAATAATTAGAATAAAAAAATTAAACAGAATAAAATTTAAACCAAAAATCGACTTAAAAATAAAAATAAAATGTAAAATAAAATGAAACTAAATAAAATAAAAGAAAATGAAATCAAATAATATAAAAAAAGCGAAAATAAAATTTAAAAAAAAGAAACATAGATATACAAATTTAGGTAAATTCAAATAAAAAAGAAGAAAATAAATAAAATAACACAAAATAAAATTAAGTTAAAATTAAATAAAATGAAAAACATTTAATTAAAGTGGAATAAAAAAAATGAAAAAAAATAAATAAATATTGTGAAGTAAAACAAAGTGAAGTTAAATAAAACAAAATAAGATAAAATAAAATAGAATGAAATAAAAAATTGTATGGGGCTATCAATAATTTATCAAATTTTTTCGTTAATTTTTGTAAGCAGTCAAACATATATTATATTATATTAAGCTTATCATACTCTTAGCTCCTTCAATGGCCATGGCACGCACACATTAACGCCCGCGACAGTCAAGTCAAAGCCATTTGTTTTCACCAAACTTACGCCAACAAAAGGACAGTGGTGACGAGTCGACGGCGCGATTGTTGCTCCAGAATGCCAAATGTAAGCCATCTTTCACGGTCGCTTCTGGACACCACTTGAATGTGTGGCACCTAAATATCAGCCGCAAGTGATGTCCAGAATAAAACGGGAAGAACAGCAGGAGTGTGTGCAATACCATAGAGCCAAGAAAGCTGTCAATGTGTGTTGTTGTTGTTTTTTAATACGTGAACGCATTTCTGCAAGATCAATTGCAGGTGATTTGTTTAGCTGTCGAAATCATCGTCTTATCGTAACTCATTACGAGATTTATTTTGTTCAACAAATGCAGAAGGTGTGATTTGTCATTGGTGCCGCGTTAGTGGGCTGTGCAAATAATCGGAAAAAAAGAAACAACAATGAAAAGAAGAAGAGCACACAGTAAGAACGTGAAGTGTACCCGTGTATGAGACTGCCAAAACGAAAAGAACAAAAAGTGCAACAAACTGCTCCTCGATGATTCAATATCAAGCGGCAGTTAATCGGTGGAGGGATTCACAGTTGGCTGCAGTTCAATAAATTCTCGCCTCACAGCTTACAAGCAATGAACGTGCGCGCAGCGTCTGTGGGCGCGCTACTACATTGGCGATCTCGCCGATCGCGAAAAGTCTATTTGTATGCAAATACTGCTTAAATATCTGTAAGAATATGTATAGTATATGTAGGGGTTTGCTTAAAGTGGCGCACAAGAGTGATCTGTGCGCACTGATCAACGAGTTTCACTTGTGGTCAGTACTTTGAGTTGCTGCTTTGGTTTTCATACCCTTCATGAGCATGTAATGGTATTGGAATTAAATATTGAAGTGTGTAAGTATTCGAATAGAAGATATTTATGGAGCCAGTCTTATCGTGCAGCCAAAAAGATCGCTTCTTTAGAAATATAATATTATCAATATTTTATTCAAAAATAAATTTTTGGTCCCTAGCTGCCGTAATTGAGCAGCCAAGGGCATAAAATTTTGTGCACTGCGCACGTAAAATAATTCAAATATAAATACAAAAAAAAAGTGAAAACAATCGACTTTGGCGTATAGATTCCATATAAATTATTGTTCAAAAATCAGTTTTTCCCTCTTAACTCAGGCAATTACGCAGCTAAGAGCATGGAAATCGGTTGCCAGCATAGTATATAAAAGCTGCAAATTATCGAAATCGATCGACTATGGCATATAACTCCCATGCAAAAATCGGTTGGAAAATCAGTTTTCGGTTTATAACTTGCGTAATTGAAGCAGTTAAGAATATGAAATTTTGTATGCTGCGCTCATAAAATATATATGTTGTATGCATACCGAAAATTATCGAAAATAATCGACTTTGACGTATAGCCACCATGGAACTTATTGTTCGGAAATGTATTTGTAGGACAAAACTTCGGTAGTTCAACAGTTAAGCGCACAAAATTGCATATGCTATACACACATAACTGCTAAAGTATGTGCACTGAAAATTATCGAAAATAATCGAATATAAACTATAGCTGTCATACCCGCTATTGTTCGAAAATATATTTTTAGGTCAAAACTGAAATAGTTCAGCAGTTAAGGGAATGAAATTGTACATGCTACACACACATAACTGTTAAAGTGTGTGCACTGAAAATTATCGAAAATAATCGCCCATAAATTATAGCTGCCATACAAGCTATTGTTCGAAAATGTGTTTTTAGGTCAAAACTGAAACAGTTCAGCAGTTGAGAGCCTGAAATTCCATACGCTATACACACACAAGTGTTGAAGAATGTGCACTGAAAATTATCGAAAATAATCGAATATAAACCACAGCTACCATACAAGCTATTGTTCGAAAATGTATTTTTAGGTCAAAACTTCGGTAGTTCAACAGTTAAGAGCATGAAATTTTCTACGCTACATACATATAATGAGTAGTATAGAAATAGTGAAATTAATCGAAATTGATCGACTTTGGCATATAGCCGCCACACAATCGATATGATTTTTAGCATACTCCTGATGTTTTAAAAACTTATTTACAAAACATAAGATAAGTTTTCTATACAAATTTATATATATATGTATATTTATGCCCTCAATTATATATGTATCTCTTCGTGTGTAAAAGGTATATTACCCTCGGCTCAGTCGAAAACTATGTTTCTTTTTCTGGTTTTTTTTTATTTATTTTTTATTTTTGCTGGTATGCATTACTTGACTCTCACTTGTGCTGTGTGTAGAGAAGCGATAATGTGATTTATACTGTCCATTAATCTGGTAATTCATTTGTTGTGGCTCACTACACAGCATGCCTGTGGCCCCGTCACATGGTGAATGGCGCTGTGCGTGCTCCACACTCGTGTATTGCTGCATTGCTGCATGTAAAAAGAGTTTTATTTAATATTACTGTCTCAAAACATCGATTGCCATTCGACCGCTGTTCATCTTCATCGCTTAAAATGGGTTTTACGTCATTACAACCCGAGCGTGCGCATTTGACTGCTGCAATATGAGCCGATTGCTAAATAGTCTTGCACTGGCTCTCCACTTACTGCACCACTGTCTCTCGACCGCCTCAGCATACATATGTACATAAGTCGGCATTTCGTGCCACATTAATACTCCCATACCCACCGCCTTGCTCAACTAAGCTTCTTTAGTATCGTGTACTTAATTTGAATCTGCCAAAGCTTGATCATCGCCACGGACACACACGCATATACATATATACAAGTGTACACTAACACTCATTGTGCGTTCTTAACGGCGATTGCCAACTATGTTATATATGTATGTATATATCTGTTGTTGGGTTTTAGAGCGATCGTTGTCGCCTGCTATTAATAAAGCATCCATTACACCTCGCTTGATAGTAAATGCTTTTAGTTGGCAGTTTTCTAGTTGAACATTGGCTATGCGTTGTCGCACAGCTTGGTTGGTGGTCGTCTGTTACTACACACACACATGTTTGTAGTATTATCGCTGGGTGATCGTTAAGTGCGATCTCTCCACTTCCCTCTCACTACCTCCCCCACTCACTCGCTCTCCTTCTCTCCTTCTCTCCTTCATCTTATCTCGCAAACTCTCTTTCTTTACTAAATTTCAAAATGAATTGCAGCGATTATTTTAATGAATTGCTTGTTGTTGATACCAACAAGATTTGCAGATCTACGTAATTTATCGATTAATTGTGTATTTGAGTTTGTAATAGATAGATATTCGTTGAGAATTGCAGGCATACATACTCGTATGTGTGAAGAGATTGCATAGTTAGTTTAGATTTCTAGAACTATTAGAGCTGTTTCTAAATAGTAATGGGAAATCTAAAGGTTTGCTTTATTCCAAGCAATCAGCTGAGGCAATTAAGCCTTTAATTGGTGTTCACACACATCCAATTTGGTTGAAGTTTTTCGTATTCCACAGTTTTTATAGTTTTTTAATTGGTTTATGAAAAGTTGAAAAATACACCAAGACCAATACACAGCTGGGGACTTTAAGCTTCGCTTTACATCACTCCTTAGGTGTTCATACATAATCAATTAAGTTCAAGTAATTAGTGTTTGACAATCCGTAGGGATTCTATTGTATTCATTAAAGGCTAAAAATGCTTTCAACAAAAGCTCAGAACCTAAAATTTCATATTTTGTCATTGCATAAGGTGTTCACACATATTCAATTAAGTTGAAACAATTAGTATTTAATACTTGATAAAAGCCCAAAGTGCACGACTCTGGCCAAGCGCTTCTACATAAATTTTTTTGCTATAATATTTCAACAAAGATAATACTAAATAAGTTTATTTTATTTTTAATTTAACATTAAATTAATTTTTTTATTTATTTATTTTTTTTGAAGACGCTTCGTTATAAAAGCATATTTTCATAAAATGTGCTTTCATTAATTATAATTAATTATTTGGTAAATTTTTGTCAAGCTATTGCCAATGACTAAGAGCTCAATTAGCTAATTGAATGCCTGTGGGAACAGTTTAAATTGCCTTACCACCATTTCCAATTGTTTTACTGGCTCATTACTGAGCTTTATGGTTAAGTGTTTTCTTATTGGGGTTTCAACTAGGAAACTTAATTTTCGATTACTTTTAGATGTTGGTCGAACGAGCTCCCATAAAATTTAGTTTCCGGAATCAAAACGGAAGTTTATAAAATTGCTTTCGAGAAGATGAAGATGCTGACTTTTCGAAACTCTTGAAGAAGACGTCATATTAATCTCTAGTAATAGATAACTAGTAGACTGCGAATAAGTTTTGTCGGGTTTTTATGTTCCGATCTTTTGAAATGGAAATCTTTTGCACGAATAACTGAACTCGTATCCTCTCCTGTACACAAAGGAAGCATTGGAAAGAAACTGCACGGCTGTCTTACATGGCTGCTTAGAGCTTTAACATAACTGTCAACGTGTCAGCCTTTATGTCTTCAACCTCAGACACCTTGGGTTTTCTGGCATCACACATTTGGTTGCGAAATTATTTGTTCTACTTCTAGCCGTTCTACATCATCTGAGGCTTCCAATGGATTGGAACTTCTTCCTATTTCCACATCTTCGACATTCCTCAAGCAATCTTGTGGAGCGGCAATATGGATATTTCTATTGCTAGTTTCAGTATTGCAGGAACTTCCACGTCTGGTGCTTGCAAACGTAAGGATCCCCGAAAACCTGCATCAGAGCTTTCGAGCAGATTTTATCGTAAGACTCAAATGTCTTCGTTAATTTTCAAACTCTCCCCGGTGGCCATACCCTTTGGGAAGTGCTTGTCACTCATATATGTACAGCAGCAATCGTGCGTTCACACGTCATTTTAAACAGCGTGTAACCATAGCATTTAACCAACGAAGCGCTTCAGAGGCAACCCACAGGCAAATTCCAAGCAAACTCATCCATTCGAACAACCATTTACCGAGGCCCACTTAACTAATCGCATGATTAATGATTGCCAAATACTGACACTATTCGATTGCACGGCGAAAAGAGAGAGAGGGAGAGGGAGGGAGAGTGGGTGCATGTGTATGCTTGAGCTCATTGAGAACAAACACCCTTTGCTCTATCTCACATCACTCAAGCTTCGCGTGCTGTAAGCGTCACTTAATGTTGCTTTTTCTTCAAGTAAGACATTTCTTTTTTCTTCCCACGACATCTCGTGCACTTTCTTCTCTCTTCTTTACTCTACTACTGTCATTATACTTCTTTTTCAATATTTTCAATGTAATTGCTTTTCAGTGAATTATTGAATGATTTTTTGAAACAAAATTTCATTACAACTTTTTTTTTTATTGTTCTTCGTCCTCCTCTTCTTTTTCTTCTCTCAACATAAGCATTTGAACGTATGTTTACATGTTTATTCACACATTGAGTCGCCACACAGTGGGGCATTGTGCCACAGCCAAGAGACGGCTAGCTGTCAATCGCTCGCTTGTGACGCATGAATGACAGCTGCTGACAGGTGATAGATTATGTCGTGTATGCGGCTTGCTGCCGACTTTGATTTCCGAAAACAAAGAGAAGGAAAGTAGAAAATATATTCAATAAAACGTCATGCTGTTTGTTGTTCTTTTTGTGTATTTCTTTTTATTTTATATTTATTTTCTAATGTTTTTATTGCATGTTTGACCTCAACTTCAATTAGCCGCTGCTCTTGTGTAATGTCTTTATGTGGTCTTAGGAAAATATTTTTGTTCTTTCTTTCTAACCTTTTTTACTTCTTCACTGCAACAATTCGGCTCGCCTTTGTCGTTGCCTTTTTGTTGTTGCGTAGAAAAATTCAATTATTACCTCATTAAATCAATTTGTCTCTTTGTTGGCATTCAATACAAATAATTAATCAAAGGATTGCCCACAATCGTTCGGCAATTTGTTTACAAATTGATTTAACAACAATTGAGTTATCAGTGATTTTCTTTATAATCTTTACTTCACATTTATTTCGGTCTTCCCTTAATATTTACAACAACACATGATAATAAATGATTCAGCAAAGGTGTCATAATTTGCTTGAGATTATGAAGTTTGGTAAAGGAGAGACTGTTTTCCAGCCTGCCGCATTATGTAATATATTATATTTTTCGGCGGACGGAAGGAAGCATTTAGGAATGAATATGAGCGCATTCTTTTTCAACCCACTACATAAAGAACGCCGGAACTCGCTTTTTCTTAACCTACCTAATGCTCAGAGAGTGACGGCTTTATCATCAGACACAGCCAGATAGCAATGAAAGACCTTGACCCCATCGTGATAGGCTTAAGGAATCTTTGCTTAACTGCTGCTGATTTATTCTCAAGAGATGGTAGAGGAGAACAGACCAAACCTCTTCGAGTTCCTTGCCAACAGGTGGGGTTTATTTAAGAGATACCCTCGGATATCTTGGCATTTCTGCTTCTGCTTTTAGTTCTTCGAAAAAAAACCAACTTGAACGAAATGGGATCGGTTGAGGTCATATAGCTTATACTCCTTGAAAGAGTTTCCTAAAGGAATATGGCTGTGTTAGGAGCTAAACCATTTTTCACTTTTGTTTTCTTTAATGGCGCAGGCATTGTTCATGTCATTATACGTGTAGGTGATTATAGCCAAGTCCACGTCAGTAGCTGCTTACTTTCGACATTCGGCGCGAATAGGAGATACAGAGCGTAACTATGTAAAATGCTTTCCATCTTATCTTGCCAGCGGAGCAGAGGTATTCCTCCATGGCTGTTCAACAAGGCTGCGACTGCAAGCGAGCATTAGTCTTGAAGCAAGCATCCCGCCACGTGGAAACTAAATTCAATGAAAATGATATCTCAACTCTAAACTATGGCGTTTGGCAGAAGCTAAAATAAGCTGCGGTACCCAAATCGTCAATCATCTCCATCTAAACTAACCTAAGTTGAGTTTACTAATGATCTCGCATCGATCATCTATGCCCTTTCGTCGGGAGTTCGAAAGAATATGTTCTTGGTCCTCTGCTTCGGAATACAAATCGGATAGAGATCTTGTACAACATGTTATAAAACAGGAAGCTAAACCCTCCATATTGACTAAGGTCGAGTTATTTGTGGCTTTCGTACAATATCGTATGGGACAGCTTTTGTTTCAGCCGGTCTAATCCTACTAGATATCCTTGTGAAGGAAATAAAAGGTGTAAATTCACGTCCACTTGATGGTAACGGGTCATAAAATAGTTGTTTCTGGCATAAGTCACCGGTACGAACGGTAAACGGACTTATGAAATCATTTCTTATTTAAGTAGATGGTTGGAAAGAGATTGCGGATACTTACGCTCGAGTACTATAGGGACAAATTCAGTCTGGACAGTTCAAAAGAATGGAGGTTTGTTGAAGAGTCTCAGCACTATTTGGAATAGTAACGGAAAGTTGAAAACGCCTAACGCTAATTTTTAGCCAGGCAATAAAGAGTTATGAAATCGGAAATAGAAGAAGAAGAAATTCCTCTCTCAAAGCTCTCCTACAAATGATTTAATGAGAGTTCAGGACCACTCCATGGCACCGTTTATAGATATTTTAGCTATTGGAATTTCTAGTCACATTCAATGAGTTCCTGATACCACCGTTGGTTTATCTACTTGGAAGAGGATTAGATACTAAGACGCATAACCTAAATTGGATAAGAAAAATACTCGAAATAAGAACCTGGGAACATATATGTATATGTATGGATAGGATGTCCGATACCGATAAATAATGTAACTGTAATTTCTGCCGATAAGATCTACAATAACGACGCAGGGAAATATATTCCCAGCAAATGCCTTGGAATCGTGCGGATCGCTTACGGGTAGTGGGAAGAGAGTTTGAGAAGCCGGTTGACTTAAATGTTGCCCAAGTACACATACATAGATATACTTTAATTTACGGAAGTATGTGTCTCCCTACGACTACGGTGGTCCTCAATGCCATAAGTCCAACGTGTGCGTCTGCTTTCTTTAAATGGCAGACGTCAGTTGCCGTTCGTTTACGAAGCGTTCAATTTATGTTTATGCCTCTTTAGCTAATTTTTTATGCGTCTTTTTTATTATTTGTTTGTTTGTTACAACATTTTTTCAACCACACATCAATTTTTTTTTTTTTTTTTTTTTGATTATTTTCTCAAGGAAGGGCTCACTGGTCCCATGCAAAACCATCATGCTGTGCGGCGTAACATTAACCCATTTAACTTCCGATTTGTCGGCAGCGATAAAGTGTCAGAGAGCGCACACATACATACATGGATATGTACATATAAAGGGTGTCCCAATAGAAGGTTTTATTCTGAATATTATGTGCATGTTTACTTTCAAGCATCGATGTTTTAAGGGAGAAGATTCCTGAGAGTGTTATCTCTCGAAGTGGTGATCCAATTGGCCACCAGGATCTTGTTATTTAACATATTTCGAGTTAATCTTTTGTGGTCACTTAAAGGTAAGGTCTACGCCAAAATACCAATGTCGATTCAACACCTTGTAGGTGCACTTCGTGAAACTATTGAAGGCATACAGCAGCCACTTTGCGATTTGGTGATTCCAATTGATGGCATATCTCCTTCTTTGCAATGAAATAAACGCCTGATCAGTTGTCTTGAAGAATACCAACTTTCTTTGAACATCAAAATAACACATCTTATTGGTAAGCCCTGTAAAAAACCCACATACACACACACACATCGCCTGCCGGCTGAGCGGCACACATAATGAGTGAGTGATTGACTCTCGTCAAACTCACCAGCAACTTGCTCAACACTCAGCGGTCCACGGGCGGTGTTTGAACTTTTATTTATTTTTAGGTCACATTTCCCTTACGCCTTTTCGGTCTTTTCGACACGGCGCTCGCTTCTCTTCATTTGATCTCACTTTAATGGCAGCTCATAAAATTTTGTTTGTTTTTCTATATTTGAATGTCAGCATTGCGAGTGGTGCAAAAACAATTTACACGTATTTTTTAGCTGAAATTTTAGTGGAGATGAAAATTTTGAAATTTTATTGGATACCAAAATGAATTTTGGGGGTAGATCAAAGGGATTTATGTGCCACATTTTTTGGTTTTTATTCACTCTAAAGGGAGTAGTGAAATGCTGGGTATGGCAATTGAATGAGTATTGGAAAATAATTTCTAAATATTTTGAATATTTTTAACCTATGGTTCAAAGAGAGAAGCTAAAGAACTGACCGCAGGCTCATTATGCTCACCAGAAAAGTTCACAGTTAAATTTCTTCCACTCATGCGTGCCCACCTCCATTGGATTGACGCTGTGATCACCAAGGAAGATGTGCCATCTCAATTGGCCATGAAAGACACTGATAAGGGTGGCGTTTAAGTGTTACGGCATCCCCTGAGCATGCTCTGCACACAGAAAATTTCACTTTACTTGGAGTCCTACGTTGGAGGAAGAGTTACAATAACTAAGTGTTCCTTTATTGTTCACTGTTTCAAACCAAATTTGAAGGCGCTGAAAGGCCTGTGGCAGTAGTGATGGTGGCAATGTTGCCAGCGCGAGTTTCCTGGTTCACCTTCCATTACCTTCTACAAGCGAAAAATCTGGGACCCAAGTGATATTCACCGTGTTTTCCAGCGATAGTCTTTTAAGTGGGTTTGAGGGTTTATAGCGCCCGTAGCCACGCACTATGGAACGTACCCATGCAGAAAAATATCAAGAGGCACAACGTTAATTGAAAGGTGCACGGCAGATAATATCCAAACCTACCCTACGACTCACAGTAGAAGATCAGTAGAAGATCAGCCAAAAAATCTCCTCAGCAGTTTAGGGCGCCAGTCCTTCCTTTTCCTTTCACGCTGCCTTGCTGGGTTGAGCTCGTCCAAAGGCAGTTTGTTTCTTAGTATTGTTTTTCAACGGGAAGGGACAGAGAAGAAACTTCAAGTCAATTCAACCTTAAGACTGCTGCGACTGCTTAAACCAGCAAACGTCTAATCTTAGACTCGCTAGAGGAAGGCGCCAAAGAACAAGTTAAGCGCAAACATCAAAGTACCAAGAATTCCAAGCCAATATTCTAAATAATTCTAAATAATTCGCAAGACATTCGCTCTGCCATAAAAAACGTACGCAAAATTACACGCTCCAAAGGCGCCAATCACAAACTCAACCATATCGAACGGTATCATCATTTTTTTTTTTTATAAAAATTTGTATTCTTTTATCTATATTGACACAAGTTGATCGCAAAACGAATCGAAGTACGCGCTGATGAAACGTACGCGAAGAACAAACAGCCACACTGACGTACGACAAGCCAGCCGAAGCCGCTGAAGGGCATGCGATCAGTGATTTGTCACGAACGCGATCGCGTACGAAATGCACGCGTACGCCGTCGGCAATGCCAGAGCACCAGAATTGATTTGTCACAATTTCCATGTAAAAAAGTCAAAGAGATAAGATCTCGAATCGATTTTCCATAGTCAAATCAATAAATGCTAGGCCAAAGTGGTCGCCACATACATACATACATACATATGCTAAGCAAGTGAGCGCGGCACAAGCTGGCCATACGAACGGACGGCGCACTCAGTCTGACGAGCTGGCGCTTTCGGCGCTGTGGTACAAACGTGTCGCGCGTACGTGAATTGGGTGAGCGCATATTGCGCCGCTTACAAAGTTCTAGGCAAAGCTAGAACGAATCGCACAGCGTTAAGGGCAGACTATGGACGCTTGCTGCGTTTGTTTTGTTGGTTGGTTGGTGGTTTCCTTGTAAAATCGACAAATTTCAAGAAAATCACGAAAAAGTGTCGGCGGACACGCGTCTGCGATGATTTTTCTTTAGTATTGTATTGTTTATTACAATATTAGTATGGTCGTAATGTTTTTATTATTCAACTTAAGGACAAAAAAAAAAAAAAAAAACTATACAAAAATCCAATCGAATCGAAATGCAAATTATAGGAAGGTGTACCTGAGCGCAAACAATAAAAAATTCGTGTGACTGCGCCGAAGTACCGTGACAAAAGTGTTGCAACGCGGACAATGACCATTTGGCGGAGTGCCAGAGACAGAGTGTGGGAGCGATAGCGGCAGGTAGGGAGGGAGCCTGGTTGTCAACACTAAAACCTAAATCGCAGGCGAAGCAAATTGCTTACAAATGCTTATGTATGTATTGTATGTATGTTTGAAGCTGAGTATGAGGCTGCGCAGAAAAAATCTGAGAATTCGTAATAAAAATACTTTAACGCCAAACTTACGGTTTTTAACTAAAAAAAAAAAAATACTGAATTATTTATTTTCGTTTTTTCGCTGAATTTGCTTAATTTTCTTATGTTTATGCGTTGTGTTGCATATTTTTTTCGTTTGTTTACCGCGCATGCGCTGCTTGAAATGAGATCTTTGAAACACACACACACACACACACACACTCACACAATGCAAACCGTTCGAGTGCTGTCAATGTGTTAGTGTTGATAATGACATTAACCAACCATTGTTGACCATAAACGCTCTGCTTGTTGTTGTAGCTATTTATGCCATTTTCGTCATGGCTAAGCAGAGCTTTCTCGCCTCGATCTAAATCTTTATTCTCTGCAATTTTTTTTGACATTAAATCACACTCCAATTTGCGCAATTTCTACATCGTTCGAGGTGAGCGATGAGAATGCTGAGATATTTTAATTGTTAATTTGCCTGAACGTATTCGTTATTGATGGGAAAGCAGAGCAGTTGCACTCCTAACTTTTCAAATAGTTTCACATATAAACTCGGAAAAGTTGAAATATTGTTGTATGTGTAAGTACCACTCTCTACGAACAGAAAGTGTGTAATATAAATAAAAATATTCAAGAGTTAGGCGGCAAGCTAGAGAGGCTAGTTAAGGGTACTCTCCATTGACTGTTCTCAGGATGTGATCACCTACTATGGTGGTGATCTCAAGACAATCAGAACACAATGGAGGAAGGCTTTCGGAAAAATCTGGCAACCTTATAACGATATCATAACAAATACCTGGCGCTTTTTAACCGCCTCAGTGTTTGTCGGCCTCCTCCTGTGGTGTGTGCATCTTGTTGTTCTTCCTACAGTTCATACTAAGCCGCCTCCGTACGATCATCATGAGGAGGTTTTTCTTTCGTGTCAAAAATTGTACTCGTATGGCTTGACATTTCCTGCGGAGGCGCGACTGCAATTAGAAAAATTAACATTCTATTATTCTGGATGTTGGTTTGATTTCTGAGCGTGGCATTCCACTTGATACAGGGTGTGTTCATTTCAATTTAAAGAAGAAGATATGCCATTAATAATGGAAAAGAATATCAGTCGAATGGCCGCCAAGTATTTGTTACAGGATCGTACCCTTTTTATGATATTTTCCAGCACCAAATCGCTGCTCTGTGGCCTCAAAAAGCGCACAAAATCCATCTCTGGCGTCTTGAATCAACGTTGGCCTTTTTGCGTGGATCTTGTCTCTCACCTGATCCCTAAGGATAAAGTCGCACGGTGTTCAAACATAAGATCTCGTTGGCCAATTGCGATCACCTCTTCGAAAGATAACAATCTCCGTATTTTTTTCCCGTAAAATATCGATGGTTTCGTGTTGGTGTTGTGACGACCCTTTAAATTAAACTTTGTCCAGATCAAAGCCATCCAATTCCTGCCATAAAAATCATTAATCGTCTCTCGTGAGCGCAATCTATTCAACGTATCTTTTGCTCCAACCTCATTTTCGAAATAGTGAGGTCTCATCAACGCGTCGGCCCATAAATCACACAAACCGTTACACTTTGTGGGTGAAGAGGCTTACTGACATAGCCACGGAGCTGGAAGTGGGTCTCAGTAGTTAAGATGATTTTTCGATGAATTAATTTTATGGACTCAAAGACGCAATCAACAAAGACACGATGTTATTGATGATCGGCCAGCTTGAGTTCTTGCGCTAGCCGAGCGAGAAATGGACCAACCTTGGTTTTATTCAAAACTTTGGGCTACAGTAACAATATTCTCAGCTGTTCTTCAGCTCCATTTCCCCGATATTTTTTATTGCGATCCGACAAGGTACTTGGAGACGACTGAAAAATCCTTCGATACTTTATCACGGTTTGTAGGTGCATATAGTAGACGCTTATGTACAGAATGATCTTTAGATCCAGCAGCTCAGTTACACGAAGAACCAACTGTGGTAGACAAAAGTCCCTCAAGAAAGTATATAGTCCGGGTTTCTAAGGATGATAGCATTGAGTGAAATAACATTCAAACTGAATGGAGGTTGAGTGAAAGCAGGTTATTTAGAAGAAACCGTATTCATAATTTCCTTCTTCAAACAGTGAAATTATGGAAAGTGTTTCAAGAAGGCTACATTACGGGGTCATGAAAAACAGACTGCATGTTGACTTGTCGCCTACCTACAGTGGAAGTTCAGTTAAGTTAACGGTATATATTTATTGAAAGCATTTAGGACTGTTGGTTCGTTGTGAAACCTCATAGTGTTTGGTTTTTAACGCCTTTGAAAGCATGTACTGATATCCTTCGGAATAAAGTATAAGAAAGTATTCCTGTATGTCAAGAACTTACTGTGTGGGTGTTTCAGAGGCTCTTAAGGCATTCTTGAGAAATGTATTTAATATGCTCCTAATGTCTCATTGAGACAGTTTCTTTTGCAAAGTTGAGTTGGGAGGAGGTAACCATATCAATCTATACCAGCAAGTCCAAATGGCAGTAGAGGTCTTTAGAGAGCTCCACCTTAGAGTAAGGAACTTGAGATTTATTTCATTTTTCATTTACCAAACACAGCAACCGCCTTTCCGCAGCAAATGGACGAGGCTTTATAATAATGAGTTGGTCAAGTCAGGAGGTTCTCTTGACAAATCTGAAGCGTAGATAATGCCATGTCCGCTTGGTTACTAGTGCAAAAAAAAAAAAAATTAAATAAGCGCTTCACGCTTACTTCATAGTACATACATATATTTCGCCTTTTAATGAACTCTGAAAAGAGCTGGAACTGTCTTTAGCAATTAACTTTTGATTTGTTTAACTTAAATTGGAACAAAAATAAGGAAAAAGTAGGAGAAAAGTATGAAAAAATCCGCCGGCATTACTCAACACACTTTGCAGGTGCCTCAGTCCAGCTTTAATTATTTTCACCAAACATTAAACCCATTTCCAGCAAATTGCTAACCAAACATATTACACATATTTAATACAACCTGTATATATGTGTAAGAGTATATACTAAATGAGAATATATTACAGTCAGGAGTGCTGTTAGAACAACATTAAATTGTTGCAATTTACAGAAATATAATTGCGGTAAAAGATAATAATAAAATAATAAATTTGCGGCAGCTACTGGTCACCGGCCAATAGCCAACAGCCAACAGCCAACA